GTGGTAGGGAAGGGGAAAATGATCATTAAAGCCGCGATCCTCACATTTGGAAGAGCGCCTGCCCAGGTGCTCGTTGTCCACCGTGTCGCACGTCCACTCCACTTTCTTGTCCGGCTTCCTCTTCCTTAGCTTCAGTGTCAGTGAGCGCGGCTCCTGCAACAACAAAAGTCGGGATCAGCGATCCGCTTGTATGGGCGACAATGACATCATCACTATTATGGAATGTAAAGGAGGATCTGCGGGAAAGAAAGAGCAGGAACTACAAGTGCAAATATAACCAGCACGTTGCCTGGCATGGAACTACAAATTCCAGCATGCCCTACAAATGCCTCTCCCTCTGCGCCCCGGTACACACTGCCAGGTAGATGCCCGCATGCTGCAGCTTATAACCTGTGGCAGTGGATGATATGCAGAACATTAGGGGTGGGCAACATCGGCCCTCCAGCAGCTGTGCAACTACAAGTCCCATGAGGCACTGGGGTGAATGTCAGTGGGGTGTATTGGGGGGAGATGTGAATGCCAGTGGGGTGTACAGGGGGAAGTGAATGTCTGTGAGGTGTACTGGGGGGATGTGAATGTCAGTGGGGTAAACTGGGGCTGTGGAGAATGTAAGTCAATGGGGTGTCAGATGACGTCACTTACCGGCCGGGCCTCACACTCAGTGGTTACCGTGCTGGACGCGGCTCCTCCCGCCACCGCCGTCGCGGAGGATTCGGCCATGTCACGTGACGCTGCGCTCCCCCCGGCCACACCACGACACCCAGGAACCCGTCCGCACTCACCGCCTGTGTGGACAGAGCGTCCAAACTGTCACTTCCGGCGCCCTGTCCCTCCACTTCCGCCAGTTTCTATGGTAGACAAGGAGGCGTCTTATGACCATTGGTGGATTTAAGAAAATAAAACCATTTCTAATCGTGTACTACTGACATATTCTGGATGGTTCAACTTCAAACACGAATAATAATAATAAAATAAAAAAAAGTAGAGTTCATACATAAAGAGTTGATTCACTTCCGCCAGAAAAAAGAATGGAGGCAGCTATGAAACACTGTATCATTAGTGACAAATTAGAGCTAAAATAATGTTAATTATTACTGTTACATGTTCATATCATTACTGTAAAATTACACGTATCTAGAATGAAACGTAATATTCATGTATTACAAGAGGAAAAAACATGTCGGTGTCTCACAAATCTAGAGTGGTGGCCATTTTTCAGAAGAGAAAACTCGCGGCGTTGGATAGAATAGGCCCCGGAAAAATGTCCTCCTACGCAAGACAGTCAGCGAACCCAGAAAGGAGCTCTAGAGGCCTGTGGACTACACGTGGAAGGTCCAATGACAAACTCCCCCCTGCTCACGTGACATCCCTCCTTCTACCAATCAGCGCCACGGAACAGTTTACGTACCACATGTGTCTTCGTCTGAGTTGATGAATCCGCGCCGAGCTGGCTGGGAGGCAGCGGATGGTGCGGGGGGAGCGTGCGGGCGTTCTGTCAGAGAGCGCGGGTGTCAGTTGCTATGGTGACAGCGTCCCAAGAGCGGCTTCCGGCGGAAGCGGGAAGGAAGGAGGGGGGGCGAGTAGAAAGAGAGAGGCAGAGGCTGCAGAGACCTGAGGCAGGGGAGAAACAGAGAGAGAGTCACGTGACTACGGGGTAGGTGCTGCTGATGTCACTGGCCGACATGTTGCGTCATTTACCAGTCCATGACACCCCAGTGAAGCCATTCTGAGGCTGTGTGTTGTGTTAAGTGACGTCATCAGCCCTCTGTGTGTTTGGAGTCCACCATCACCTGTAACAGCATGCTGTGCCATCAAATGATGGGTCTCTGTTCTTAGGATGTGTCCCCATCATTGTATGTAGCTGGTGTCCCCAAATATGATGGGCCTCTGATCACAGGGGGTGTCCCCGTCATTGTAGCCGGTGTCCCCCAATATGATGGGCCTCTGATCTCAGGATGTGTCCCCGTCATTGTAGCCGGTGTCCCCTAATATGAAGGGCCTCTGATCTCAGGATGTGTCCCCTTCATTGTAGCCGGGGTCCCCTAATATGATGGGTCTCTGATCTCAGGGGGTGTCCCCGTCATTGTAGCCGGGGTCCCCTAATATGATGGGCCTGTGATCTCAGGATGTGTCCCCGTCATTGTAGCCGGGGTCCCCTAATATGAAGGGCCTCTGATCTCAGGATGTGTCCCCATCATTGTAGCCGGGGTCCCCTAATATGAAGGGCCTCTGATCTCAGGATGCGTCTCCCGTCATTGTAGCCGGTGTCCCCCAATATGATGGGCCTCTGATCTCAGGTTGTGTCCCCTTCATTGTAGCCGGGGTCCCCTAATATGAAGGGCCTCTGATCTCAGGATGCGTCTCCCGTCATTGTAGCCGGTGTCCCCCAATATGATGGGCCTCTGATCTCAGGTTGTGTCCCCTTCATTGTAGCCGGGGTCCCCTAATATGATGGGCCTCCGATCTCAGGTTGTGTCCCCGTCTTTCCTCGTCATACCTGGTACCTGCCTTTGATTTGGGACTCTTCACATCCCTCCATCGGACCCCAGGAAAGTGCGACGCTATGATTAGGAACTGGGGATCGGCTCTGGTAGAGTTCTTCCTGTGTGTCGGTTTGAGGCGCAAAGTCTGCGTTTGTCCTGCAATGCAAATTCACATCAATAGGACCGATGACGGCCGAAGAAACACAACGCAGGTCAAAGACAACCTCAGGAGAGTTATCTGCATTACATCACTAAACTGGATTCTGCTGACTGGCATATGATGAGCTGCGCTTCAAGGATGGAACTCTGCACCATCTACACAAGGCCTCCTGCTATTGGTTGGTGAAGTCCCATATTGTAGCGATGGGGTAAGTAGCAGGCCTCGAAGGGGGCCACACCAGAGTCAACGGCCACAGGAGCTCCCGGCCGATCTGGAGGAGCGCTGCAAGATATCAGACAACACATGCAGCCGACTGTAGGGCCCAGCTCAAAAATGCAACTGGGTGGCGGGGGGCAAATTAATTAGGAATCCAGGAGGCAGTCTGTGCGATCCAGTAGCCAGCCTGTGCGATCCAGGAGCCAGCCTGTGCGATCCAGGAGCCAGCCTGTGCGATCCAGGAGCCAGCCTGTGCGATCCAGGAGCCAGCCTGTGCGATCCAGGAGCCAGCCTGTGCGATCCAGGAGGCGGCTCCATTGACAACGACTAAAGAAAACCTCAAAATGTAGGCGCCAGGGGCATTGGCGACCTGGCTCCTGGGATTTGTCCAGCCCTGTAAATGGGTATTGCATGTGTTGGGTGGTCATAGGTCCATTTTAAAGGAACCTTTCCTGAGAGCAACATGGAGGCCACCATTGCCACTTCTTGATGTTTCCTGGATGTCATGTTTATCCTCCTACTTCAGTACTTTGGATCCTTATCTGGGTGAGTAATAGTAAGGATGGCTGCCTTTACTCTGACTCCACAGACCAGATATGTCCAGAGCTCAGTGACTTCTACTCATAGGCTCTCAGTGGTTCCATCTACTAGGCAGACATCTGGCATCTTTGGAAAGGGGATCGGTCATTGCAGCCTCCAGAAAGGGGATCGGTCATTGCAGCCTCTAGACAGGGGATCGGTAATGGCAGCCTCCAGACTGGAACGGTAATGGCAGCCTCCAGACAGGGGATCGGTAATGGCAGCCTCCAGACAGGGGATCGGTAATGGCAGCCTCCAGACAGGGGATCGGTAATGGCAGCCTCCAGACAGGGGATCGGTAATGGCAGCCTCCAGACAGGGGATCGGTAATGGCAGCCTCCAGACAGGGGATCGGTAATGGCAGCCTCCAGACAGGGGATCGGTAATGGCAGCCTCCAGAAAATGGTAATGGCAGCCTCCAGGAAGGGGATTGGTAATGGCAGCCTTCAGACAGGGGATTGGTAATGGCAGCCTCCAGGAAGGGGATTGGTAATGGCAGCCTCCAGGAAGGGGATTGGTAATGGCAGCCTCCAGGAAGGGGATTGGTAATGGCAGCCTCCAGGAAGGGGATTGGTAATGGCAGCCTCCAGGAAGGGGATTGGTAATGGCAGCCTCCAGGAAGGGGATTGGTAATGGCAGCCTCCATGTGTTTCAGGCAAAGTCTAACTCCGGACTGTTTTATGAGTCTTGGATGGAGCGGAGAAGAGCTAAACCTTGAATCCTGGAGAGCTTTGTGTATTTCTTCCAGACCTGTGCAGTGATCCAGCGTGAGATTTGGTGGAAGTCGCACTCCCTGCTGTAAAACATGCCCAAAGTGAATGTCCCCGGTCCCCACCCCTGCCCTATAGGCTCCTTAGCATACCCTCCTCTGCGCCCCTCGGATTTTGTTTTGCTCTGTTTCCTGGCTAAGCTCCGCCAGCCGCCCTCCTCCTGTCCAATGAGAATGCCCTTACCGGCCACTGATGCTTTATCCCTGGACGGGGGGACGGTAGAACTTTGCTGCTTTGAAGAGAAGTGCACACATGGAGATCATAGCAGGCATCTTGTAGCGTTAGCTTTTAGCACATGTTCTCTTCAACAATGCCGGTGAACTGTGCCAGGGCGGCCATTGCTCAGACAGCTGCTGGGTTTATTTGGCAAGGCCGCAGAAGCTCATTGGCAAGCAGCAGGTTGCTGATGCCAGCTTGTGTTCCGTGATCAACGCCAGCCAGGGAACTGCAAGGCAGCACTGTTAAATGAGCACTTCTAGGCAACCAGTACAACCAATCTGTAAGATAATAACACCATCCTGCAAGCACTGCGACTGTGTAAAAACGCTACAAGGCCATCAGGTGACCTCAATCTGAGCTTTGTGTAATCTACTGCAGCCAGATTCCAGACAGCATCTCACAGGGTCTCTGGGAATGTGCTCCCTGAAGATTGTGCAGCTCGGTCTAAGTCACCATTCACGTAAGAACGTCTGAGGGAGGTCGGAATCTGGCGGCCAAGCTAAACTTCTCCGTACTGACGTTTGTTTATTTCATTCTTTCCGTG